AGACTGAAGAATGCGATGGTGTGGGCCAAGCAGAGCTCGTTAGCCTTTGGGGAAGAGCTGCTGGCTTGCTGACTCTGCTCTGGCTCTATGGTAAGACACAGCCTAGAAATACAGAAGCGTAGGGCTCATTGAAAGTTTCTGATGAAAGTATCTTTCAACAGAAAATACTGAGATTGACTAAGTGGCTCGTTTTGTGAGAAGTGGCTTCTGGCTTTGGGAAATGTTGTTTTTCATTAAACTACAGAACATATGCAAAACAGTAACACATTGATTTGGATATGCTGTCACGGTGCCTTTCTAGAGTCTATTTTAGTTCTCGTGTTCACATTCTCTTCTCTGAGATGGGAAGACTGTAGTGGGTCCTGAGAGACGCAGCTTGATGCATGGAGCCATCTTGGATGAGAAAATGGGAGCACAAGTACATGAACTCCAGTTCCCATGCGGCAGGGCATCAATTTGACAACATTAAATACTTGAACTTTCTGGAATGTGTTCATTTGTATGAAACCTCTCATTTTTGCCTTTTTTTTCCCCAAAGCAAATACACAATTTCTCTTTGCCTCCCGTCATTTTAATGACAATGTTGTTGTCATTAAAACTTTGGTTGGGAAAAGACATTTTGGCCTAGCCTTGTCAAATAAGTAGGTAAACAGTGCAACCAGGAGATAAATGAAAATTTGTGGGTTTGGGTTTGTTTTTTTTTTTTAAGGAGAGGGTTTTATTTAACAATAATGACCCTCAAAAAATCCTTCCAAGAAGCTGACGACTGCTCAGCCCTCAGTTAAAGCAGACTGGAGCTTGCAGATTTCTTCAGGGGGTAAGACGAGGGCCAGACTAGCCGTCTGATGAATTTCTGTCAGCAGGGCTGGATGCAAAAATGGGAAGTGCCCGGCTTCCTATTTAGGTTTCAGGTTTAGGTTTTAGTTTAGGTGTTTTCCCTACATGTCTGACCTGTTTCCGCCTTCCTGAGGGGAAGATTGACTGGTAACTCCCAGTCCCTGTGGATGGCAATGCTGCTTCAAGTAGCAAATGTAAACTCCTTTCCTGAAATAGCCTCGGACATCCCCTGCCCCGGGGTTAGCCTGGAGGGCGGGACGCGGCCCTGGAGGACCCTGTGAGCATGATTTGGAAGAGAGGCAGAGGAGTTGTGTCTTTAGATGCTATTTCAAAGTTGAAAAAGTTATTTTCCCTTGATTCTTCAGCCAGATCTCCCTTAGTTACGGCAACAGTGCTAAAATAGGCCGGACGAAGGAAGAGCAATCTTTGAGTAAGGGAATGGGTTGTAAATAAACTATTCTTGGTCAACCTGGCGAGAGCTGTGCTGAACCATAGCTATATGCGAGGCTGCCTTCTCCAGAGCTACTTGCATGGCCCATTAGCAAGATTCCCAGTGCTCCAGGAAGGTTTAATTTGAAAACAGTGGTATGTCAGTGCACAGAGCCAAATCAGGCCCGGTGGTGTACTCCGGGAAATAAGCTGCCCTGGTTGCCCAGAGCACTGCTGCAGCGGTAGCTTCACTGGAGCCAGCTCAGCTCCAGCTGAACGACTTAGTTCAGCAAAAGCCAAGGAACCCTAGAAGCACAACGGTAGCATATCTGAGCTAATAACCCAGCTTTTTACCTCTGTATGGGAAGCATTTCCGCAAACCTATCCCGGCAGAACTGAGAGTTGTTGATTTAAAATAAGTGTTAAATTTAATTTTGCATGATCTTGACAACCCATCTAGCGGTGGGGTTTGAATGTTTGGGATCCATTATACTTCGGGAAGTCTTAGTGGGCTCAGCTCACATGTTTGGACATTCTCAAATATCTGCAGGATCACAACCCAGATTTTTAAGGCAAGGTTGAAGTAAATAGAACTTTCTGTTATGTGTAATTGGGTGCAGGAGAAAGTGTCGCAAGTAGAGAAAGTTCAAACACATGCTTGAATGCTTTTTGTAAATCCTCTTGACATTGTGAAGAATTAAGATGTTATTGCTGGTTTAAATGTGAAATGTCTCCAAAGGCACATCAGTATTGTTTATAAGCTATAATTTATTTCTTTAAAAAAACTATTAATCTAGGTAATACCGATCTCCGATAACAAAAGGAGACCATCAATTAGCAGAAATAAATCTATCACAATGATAACTAAAGGTTTCTGCGATTTTCTACAGAAGTTTGCATTTCTACATTGAAAAAAAATGTATTGAGGGGGAAGCTAGTTGTTTGTTCCTTATGAATCAGACTTGGAGATACACAGAAGATAAGTACGTTCCTCTCCTCCCCGCCATGTCTTCTGTAGCCTCTTTTTATTTGAGGTGTTTATTTGTGGAGAAGGAAATCAAAAAGAGTGTTAATGAAATTGAGTATGGTCTTTCATAGCTCAGCCAAATTTCTAATGAATAGATTTCTCTGGGTCAAAGCCAAGATCTGTGTATCATTTTGGATGGGTAAAAGCTTTACAGTTGTGTATCTGGTTGCTGCACTGGCATCTGTGGGAGGGAAGAAACCTTAAATGTATGAGTGGGGATCATCTGGTTATTTATGGCATGGTAACAATGTGTATAAAGATATGATCCGACACATATGTCAAAGTAATTCCTGTTGACTGACTTCAGGGAAAATACATTGTAAATCCAGCTACTCTGTGTGCTTGTGATTCTGATACAAAGGTAGCTGCTGTGGAGGTTTTTCTGGGGCTGTCAGACTATTTACTTTGCAGTCAGGCTGATTTTCTCCAGTTTTAATTAATTTAAGAAAAGTCACTTTTAGAAAAACAAAAAACAACACTCCTCCTTTCCCTTTGCTTCCCTTTCCCAAAGCAACCCTCTCTATGTGGGAAATACCATGTTAATGTCTTAAATTAGCAGGATGCATCCAGAAACGGCATTTGTAATTTCTTGATCTTTTTTTTTAATAAAGTTCATTTTACCACAAAGTACGTCATTGCTGAAACTGAATTTTTGTAAGAGGTTTCATCTTTACCAACTTTCCTACCACCAAATACTGAAACTGCTATTTTTAAAACGCTTTTAGAAGTGTTATGTTGGGTGTTTTTTTAAATCCACAGCTATCAGAGTTTCTTGATTTATTGTTATCATGGCTATAGCAGCGATATGGATGTATTTTAAGTACTCAGACAGGGATGAAAATGGCCTTAACTGTTGCCGTGAGTGCCTGTCTTGTTCGTCATTGTATGGTGATGATTATGCAAAAAGGGGCACAGGGATTTATTAATTATTCAGAACCAAGTCTGTTTACCTGGAAGAAGTATGATAAAGCTATACTGAAAGTGGTGCTTTCAATGCCTGCAGTCGCCAACCTTGGTAACTAAAGCCCATAGAGCTACCAGTGCTTCCAGTCTCCTGATCCTGTGGCAGCGAAATTTGAGCCCATTGTACAGATGAGGGATTGAGGAGAAAAGAGACCAAACGACTTCCCAGGGCGATACGTGGCATGTGTGACAGAACTGGATGTTGGATACAGCCGATGTTGTCTTCATCCAGAACCTTAGCAGAAAGTGATCATCCTTTCCAAAGTGGATTAAATTTTCCCCACCGAGACTGCATGGATTTCAGTATTTTGTTTCTTCTTGTTCTCTGTGAAGAGCAAACGGTAATAATAAAGACTGGAATACTTGAGGAAGATGTCTCCCAAATTAGCAAGCTATGGTTTCTTATGGAAAACCAGCATCCGAGCCATTGATGAAATATAGCAGCCCAGGAGAATAAAAGGCTTACCAGGGTTCGAAAGACCTCCATTTACATAAATATGCAGAGACATCTGTTACAGTCATGAGTGACCTGCTGGTTTAAATCATCAGCAGGGGAAACTCATAGTCGATCAACATTGCCTGCAGTAGCAGGTGCTACTTTAGGCAACAGGAATTACTGAAAAGGTTTTCGATGAACAAAGACCTTTCCGCTTGCCAAGAAGAGACATACGGGAAATTGAAACAAATGGCACACGCCTACGGTCTTTCATTCGTAATACGCGACGAGAGCGTAGCGTGCTTCTGCGTCCAAATCTTTATATGATTAGTTATAGGTACGGTGTGGCTGACAAAGCTGCAAAGTTTATGTCTGAGAAGTACTTGTGGCTTTTCAAACCAAACTACTTAAGTCAGATTCCCAAACAGAAATGAATCATCAAGATTTAATGGAAAATGTTCAAAACAGATTTATCATCTAAAAAACAATGTTTTTATTATCAGAGTATATGCCCGAAATAGTAATGTAAAACTGTCATCCTAAAGGTTATGATTACTTAAGTAAATAATTGAAGTTTATTTCTTGCTCATATTTAATCAGCAGAGACATTCTAACATTATAACTTCATATAATGCCAGGATATTTGTATTCCTTGTTGGCACAAGGTATATGGCGTTCTCTCTCTTTTTTCCTCTCTCTCTCTTCCCTCCCGCCCCCAGTAATAAAATTTGTAATCTTATCTTAAATTTAGATTTGTTTCTATTTTATGGGAACTTTATTTAAGTTCTCTGCGTAACATGGTTTTGTACGGAAAGAATCTGTCTTTTCAGTGGATGAACTACTGGACAGAAAACTAGATTACAAATTTGGGGCTGCAAAAAGGTTATGATTTGATGTGTTATACGTGACTGTAATTGCCAGCAGTTCTGAAAAGAAAATGCTCACACAGTAAAAAGGAGTGTCTGAAGAACCTGTAGTAAAGCCACAGAAGTAAGTGTTGACATTTGCAAAGGCTTCCAAGATGTAAAATGCTCCCTCTGACTCTCTTATATATGTGTTATATATATAGATATATAAATTACATATAAAAATACAGCTCTTTAATTATAATAAAAGGTACAGTACAGCTTGAGTACTTGATTCAAAATATTTAATGGGTGCCTCATGTTGGGATGTAACAGCTCTAATAAGTATGAGATCTTTAAAGACCTTAACAATTCCCACCTCTATTTTGATAACAAATTTCATAATAAAACAAGATAAAACAAAACCTGTTCTTTTCTTTCCCTTTGAACAGAGCGTGGATCACACTTCTCGTAAACCTCATCATATTGAGGTTGGGCTAAGATGAGCATAACCAGTGACGAAGTGAATTTCTTGGTGTATCGCTATCTCCAGGAATCGGGTAAATTTCCTGTCTTTCCTCACAACTTCAGGTCATAGATTAAATGGGAGAATTGGCTTTTTGCCTGGTGTTGCTTTAGGAATGTTGCACTGAGTGTTTCAGACTGATAAACTCGGACTAAGTATTTCTTGCACATACCCATGTTTCTTTGAAATCATGGTCTTGAACATAATAAAAGTGCAAACATACGCAGGTACAAAGTAAACATGGCAGTTAGGCAAAACAAGGAAATAAATAACATTATGTTAACAAATGTTTTTGTAGAGTTATATCGTCTCAGCCAAAGTAATTTTTGGCAGCACAGGCACAAAGCACATGGATTTTGTATCTTTTTTCTTAGCTACTTGAAATAGTTCTGTCAGATATTTATTAAGTAAAGAGGGATTGTCTAAATTGGTTTTATATTGGCTGTAAATGGAAATTCGGGTGCAAGTGTCTGATGTTTTAGAATTTCATTAGGGTAATTATGTATGTAAACTGAGCTGTGCAAGTGTCAGTGTGTCTCTGTCTTAGTATCACTTCCACCTCTATCTGTTTTCATATCGGAAATAATGTCTTTACAGGGCTTTTCCTTTTAGAAGGAAAGCTTCATCTTTCCTTCAAAAAAAAAAAAAAAAAATTGAAACTTAAATTTAGGGTCTATTTTGTTTTCATAGTCTTGATTCCACTCTTGGACTGCAAGAAGTAGAAGTTCTCTTCAGTAATGGAAAATGTTCTGTTAGTGCAGAGATGATAGGGGAGGTGAGAAACATTGACAAAGGATTTATAGCCAGGATCCCAGTTTACTTGGTACTGGCCCTATGTTCTGGGTTGGTAAAAGTACAATTGAGTAAAAATGTTTGCTGTTTCATATGCTGAAACAAAAAAAAAAATTCTGTGAAAAATACATGTCTTCCTGTCAGAAGACTTGAAGCCAGTCTTAGAATTAGCCCTCCAGACTTGGGAGATGTCTTGGACAGGGGACCAAAATCCCAGCAGGTAGAAGATACTGGGTTAGCCTGCTTCTGTTGGTCATTATAACTAGTATTTATTAGCTACGTTATTTTGATTTATTTCTTCTACTTCCAAGACTATTTCAATCCCAGGAACCCAAATCCCTGTGCAAGGAATCTCCACTGAAATTGAGAAGATGATTTATAATACTTTTTCAGGATTTGGTCTTTTAAAACAGTTCTTTGAGAGTCCAGTTGTGGCCTGTGTTAGTAGCTGTTTTCTCACATTGTACTCGTCTCTCTAATAACAGAGCTTATTAAAAAAAAGCCTAGTTCTGGCATGCAATCAAATGAAAGAAAGATAAGAATTGTCTAACTAAAATTTAATCCAGACAAAGTTTATTTTTAAAAATAAGCCATTGGGTACCACACTGGAAAGGGCTTTTGAACATTAGAGTGGTGCGCAGATGGACACAGCCAAAGCCTAAGAATGCCGAAATTGTTTTACATTGTTATGTTTGTATTGTAGGAGATTCTACATAACAGTGTATTAATACAGTAATTTTTCCTGATGTGAAAAAAGAAAACCAGCCTTTTTTATTCCTCTTGACAGATCAGTAGGTGGGTTAGTGTTTTGTAATGATTCAGAAGGAGGCTTTACAAAGTCAATCAAGAATGGTGGTATCAGCCAAATGTCAGGAAAAAGTTCTTCTAGGTAACCCATCTCCCACAAGCAAGCAATCACTTTTGCCATTTCAGGGAGAACTTCACATACAAATTTCCATGTTAACTGCAAGTTGTACTGCTCTTCTTTTCTTATGTAAAAGGGCCAAATGTTTTTCTTACTTAATCCACACATACTAAAGGCATTCACAAAAACATTATATTTCCACTGTTCTGTTGTATTTTACCCATATAAGAGAGTAGAGGTTGAGGTTAAATATTTGAAGAAAAATTCAAATATGCTTCAAACTGAGCATATTGAAATCTAGATGCTAGGTATTGATTTAGTGGATATACCTGACAGTTTGCTAGTAATTTCATTTAGCAAATAAGAGCTATAGCCAATGATGAATCCACTAATCTATTTAAAAAGCTTCTTACATTTAGTTTGAATCTTCTTTCATACTGTCATTGTTTTTTCCAAAGAAATTTTTATATCCGTATTTTCAGATAAAGTAGGGTAATAAGACAGAAATTGTTACACAGCATCTTGCCTTTCCACCTGCTAGTATAAATGCCATAAGATGCGACAGCAGATGAAAGATGTTTAATCAGTAGCTTCAGAAATAATGCATGCCAAATTTACAGGGCTAGTGTTTAAATACAGTTTAAGTTCAAACCCCTACAGTTTAAGGAGTTTGCCAAAAACAAGGTTATTACATTGATTATTTATTAACATTAGCTGAAACCAAAGCTTCTAAAAATTAAAATTATATCAAACACCGCCATAAAGGTTGCTTACAAGATCGAACAAAAGTTCAATTTTTTTTTTAGGTATCTGTCCTTTAGTCTTAGCCTGTAAAACTTCCAGGCTTTCCCATAAAATGTAGGCTAATGGTGGGAGAAAGAGAGGAACAACAAAAGGAAATACGTATGGCGGAAAAACTATATAAAAAGCAAACTGTCCCTAAAATATTTCAAGTATTTTGCGGCTGCAAGGCACAGAAGCACTTGAGATTATTTGAAACATTATAGCAAAGATATTGATGAGTGCTTTACACTTCATTATGAAAATGCTGGCAGGTCATTCTAGTAGAAGTTCAGCTCTTCTAAAATTGAAGTTAGAAGTGAAATTCAGTAATTATATTTCCTCCTTAATTCTCTGTCAATCTAGAAAACTTGCACAGGAGAGTATTAATAGAGTTGAACTGTCTAAACCATTATTGTTGCTTTTTAACAAATCTTGGCATACGAAGGGGAGTTCCAGTGAACTGGAAAAAGCAAATGTTGTGCCAGAATTTTTAAAGGTTAAACAAGATGATCCAGGTAACTATAGGTCAAGCAAAATCATTGGAAGGTTGAAACTAGATACTTCCAACAAAAAATGAAGAGATGACATCATGCCTAATGCCAGCCAGCAAGTTTTTATGGATAACAGATCTTGTCAAACAAACTTGATACTGCTTTTTCCAAGATCACAAGTGAAGTTGACAGAGATAGCTGTGCTGACAATAATACACTTAGACTACTTTATGACATTTACTTAGTCTTGGTGACACTGTGGTTAAAAACAAAATGAAATAACTGTGTAAAATCAGTGTAATCCAGGGTTACCAAATGGATTAAAAACAGGCTAACAGAAACATAGTGAAAAGTGATTAGAGTTGGGGAGTATTCATCTCAAAGGTTGCTTCTAGTGGGAACTCAGAGGAATCTGTTCTTGGCGTAATACTGCTCAATAGCTTTATCAGTTACCTGGAAGGAAATACAAAATGATTCTCGAGTACATTTGCAGATGGAATGAAATGGTAAATTGTGGCGCTTGATGAGTTATACTAACTGATCATGTGGTTTAACAGAAAAAAATACAGCCAGGGAAACTGCTTTGAGTTGCCTGCTGCTAGAAAAGCAGGCTGGAGAAGATGCCTGGTCCAGGGGCAGTGCAGTCAAACCCATCCAGTACAAGACAGGGCTTGGACAAGTTAAGGCTCTAATTGCTTAGCTGCATTAAAATATGTAAGTAAATAATTGCCTCTTCACATAGGCGACTGTCTCAGGGCTTATCTATGCCCAGAAAACCAAAGCAGTCAGGCATAATTTCCATTTAGGCTCCATGGGTCGATGGCATAGGAATTCCACCACTAAGGTGGCTAGGTGTTGTCACTTCCGCTGGAGGACCATGAATGCCCCCCTTCTTGAGGTATAAAGAAATCAAGTGTTTAATTTCCGTTTAAGATTGTTACTTCATATCCAAAAGCCAAGTCCCGCAATGTTCAGTTTGCTCCTTTTTGAACATGAGCTTTTTGGTGCACAATTTAAAGTGGCCCAATTCTTAAAAGTGCTGAGTACTTCTAAGCTTTGTTCATCTCAGGAGTCACACTTTTAAAAGTCAGGTTATATTTATTTGTAGGTGTCTTGATTTAAAGACTACCTTTAAGTGAAACTCTTGGCCTCGGTTACTAAAATCAGGCTTAGGTTATGTCTACACTGTGAGTGTACTACCACTGTGGAGATAGGAGCACACAAAATACTCCTGTGGTGGACGTAGTTATACCAACAAAGCAGGTGCATTGACAAAAGTGAAACAAGCTTTACCAAAGAAGCCACAGTTCTGGCATCCAAATTATGTTGATTCAGCTTTGCACCTCTTCAAACTCCCGAGAAGCATACTTTTGCTAGCAGCCATCTTCACTGCTCACATACTCCTTCTATTGGTTTTCTTCAGAGTGAAGAGCTGTGTTTCTACAAAACTGTATTGAATTCAGAATATAGTTTTCCCATTCTGCTTTGTCTGCCCAAAAGAGAAACAGATAATTATTTGTCTTTTGGAATGAAGGTCAGAGCAGTACAATGCAATGGGAGTAATAAGGATTCCAAGTAAAATTGATAAGGGAGGGGGGGGGGGGGAGAGGATGGCAAAACCAAGGGAAATCAAATCTCTCGCATACCTTTTAATCTAAAATGTGCTGCCGTCTGTTGTGAGTGACAACTCCTGTTGTAGGTCCAAATGCTACAATAAATTACCTTCCCTACCCAGCCCAACATGTCAATTCAGTTATTAAAGCTTTTTCAAATTCGGTATTTTTGATGCATTGATCGATTTCATTGTGTTCCTCTTCTAGCACTTACATGCATGTTGCAGTATTGAATCTTTATCTGAAAATCAGCTCCCCAGCTGATAACTCTGTGGCTTATACTGCTGTCTAGTAGGGCATTTATTGTAGTGGATGTCTGGCAATGACTTGTTAGAGTTAAGGTTGTGTAACGGTTTCCATTTTTGCTCATACTTTTACTGTTCAGTTTGAATTTTTCCACGTTTTACTACATACACTTGATAAACTGTTCTTCAGTGTACATCCGCACCATGTCCAAGACAATAAAAACACTAGCTGGATGCTTTTCCTA